CCTGCCGATGGCCCGGCCTTAGTTTGTCCTGTGGTCACTGTCTCTCAGACGTGACGTGGACCTGCAGTCTCTCAGCGAATGGCGCTGTGCACATTCCGCACGCGCTCGAGAGTTCGCTCGCTCATAAGGCACAGCGATGCTGGGGGGCCAGCTGACCCCAGTCACTACTGGCGTTCTGGATCTACACACTGAAAGGCTACTGAAAACTACCGCCAAGGACAAATAATACTTTGGAAAAGCAGGAAAGGGTATCATAACACACTGGAGATTGAATACGTAACCACTGGTTACTGCACTGGTTGTTCTTGTCCCCTTGGAGTTCTCTTTTACTAGACAGATAACAGGCATCAAACCCCGCAGAGATTTAGTCACATCCCCTCTGGTTTCATGCTGTTGTTCAGATTACGGTCTGCAAACTTTCTCGCGCAGCTCGCTCGAAACCTGAAGAGGTTTCCAGCTAGACTGAAACAGGAATGAGACTTGCTACCATGAGAGTCTTTGTCCTGTTTTGGTGTTTGTGTTTCCTGACCTGTTTGTAATCTGAGCAAAGCAGTGTTTTTTTTGCTTAAAAAAAAGGACATAACCAGTATTTACACTGGTCAGTGTGTAGAAAGGGGGATCCGGCTGCTGCAGTTTAAGGTGTTCATCTCCCTCTCTTTCAGTGCTGTGCAAGGACACAGCTACCGTGAGCAGAGAGCCTTCCCACGTCGCACTCTCCCCCGATGACATTTCAAGAACAAGCTGCGACCTTGACAAGGTGAGACGTTTATTTTATACATTCACATGCAAAATGATCAGGAATGTTTAAAACGTTACAGTTAATTAAATCATTATTAACCCAGTGACATACAGTATATCCAGCCTGTAACGAAGGAATTAAAACCCAGTAACTAGCATTAAAGACTGTTACAGTGCCTACAGGTAAATGAAAAGTGTGGGAAAGCTTTGCACAACCATGAGCTTTAGAAAGAGTGTCATTAAGGAGCTTCTGCGGTTATCACATCAGTGTTTACTAAAGAAGCAGAGCGTAAAAACTTTGAAATGTCTAGCTTGTTTGTTTTTTAGCAGCAAAGTGATACGATGATCAATGACTTCTCTGCGTCTTAAAAGAAGCAATGGTGTTCACTTCTACAGTACTGAGTAGCCTGGAAACTTGATCCCTCCCCAACCCTTCACTCCTGCTCTCACTATTAGTTTCCCTTTGCATCATCTGCCTTGGATTCTGAAGACGTTCGTAGGGTTGGCTTTGTCAAAGCCTTTGAGCATGTTGAAGCAGGTTTCTTCATAGTCTTAGGGTTTGGTCCTTTTAGCAAGTCAGAGTAAAACGCTCTTTTCAGCCCGGGAATGTACCTGGGCAATCTTCTCTAAACTAATTCCAGAGCAGCAGTGTATTTTTAATATTAGCTGATGAGCTGTTTTCTGTGCTGCGCTGCAGGAGAATGCCCATTTCATCATCGTGGACATGGTGCTTGAAGCGCTGGAGAGCACGAAGTGCGCACTGTGGAGTCAGAGGGCTGGCCAGGCTGGGAGGGGGCAGTTGGGCTGTCCTGTAGGCCTGCCGGAGGAGGAGACCGGCAGTGGCCCCCTCTCAAAGAGGCACTCCGAGTCAGTGGCCTCGTCCGACAGTGGCTATGAAGGTAGTTACTGCGGGGGACAGCGGCCAGTCATACTAAAGGCTTATACAAGCAATACCCAACTTTATCTGTGGAGAAGACTGGGGAAGCAAAAGCTGTCTCTGGAATATAGAGCTGTATACCTCCTGATCCACAAAGCAGAGATGCTCCATGTGCTGTTCTGTTTGTGCCTCTCTTCACTTAAAGCTGCGCTTCCTGACAACTTTTTCTGAGCCTAGTCGTCTCTGATCACAGAGAAAGTATGCTTATGCTTTGCATTTAATTCAGTTGACTGATGTGTTGAATTGTTTTATCAATCTCCAGGATTTTCTGCACACCAGTCTCTTCATATTCAGAAGGAGCCTGGCAATGAGATCGCAGTTACAAGTAAGTTTCTCTAGACATTGGTCAGGACTAATCAGTCTGCAAGGCTTTGAGAAGAGTTGTTCATTTTAGGAAGACAGTCCAGTGCCATTCCCCTGACAGCCAAACAGCAGCTGCAGTTTCTGCTTAGCCTCTAGCTTGGACTGTGAATCAAGATATGACTCAGTCCAAGCATGGAAGAACAGAAACCTGTTTTACAAGTACAGCCTCCATGTGAAACTAAAGAAGATGAGTCAATGTCTGCCTTCAAAGTTGTGTTTTTTTGTGAACTATCAGACGAGTCACACAATTCTCGTATTTGCCTCTGGAACTGTGTCTCACTGTGGGAGAAAAACATCTCTACAAACATCTCTCACTCTTGTGTTTTTCTTGCCTTTAGGGTAAACTTCCACATACATTATCTTAGGATGGATCTCCAGGACATTTTGATTTCCCAGTAATAATACCTGATTTGGCACTTTAGGTTAATACAGAAATTGGAGAACAGGGTGGAGGGTCTTCTCAGCAGACGTTAACATGCAGCTCAGTTATATCTACTGACCCTTCTCTCTTTCTGTTTTAGGTCGTACGTTAGAGAAACAAAATCCTGACGCAGACACTGGCACAACCTCTTCACTTCAGAGGTACAGTTATTACATTAATGTTGAAACTGTTTCGATTTGGAATCTCACACCACCAACCAAGCTTCAAATGACCAAGATGCAGAGGTGTTCATTACTGTAGACTGACTTTTCATACCAAATTTCTGCTTCCAAAAATTGTATTATTGTATTCTTCCATATTGGGTAAACTGGTGTTCTTTCCCAGATGTAATCTCACCTTGTACCCTGTCCAATACTAATTTCTTATATAGCGCTTTTCTGGACACTCCACTCAAAGCGCTTTACAGGTAATGGGGACTCCCCTCCACCACCACCAATGTGCAGCCCCACCTGGATGATGCGACAGCAGCCATAGTGCACCAGTACGCTCCCCACACACCAGCTCTCAATGGGGAGGAGAGAGAGTGATGAAGACAGTTCAGAGATGGGGGTTATTAGGAGGCCATGATTGGTAAAGGGGGAAATGTGGCCAAGATACCGGGGTAACACCCCTATTCTTTTTTTTTAATGACCACAGACGTTAGGACCTCGGTTTTACTTCTCATCCGAAGGACGGCACCTTTTTACAAGTATAGGGTCCCCGTCTCTAAACAGGGGTATTCGAATGCACATGAACACAGAGTGAGCGCCTCCTACTGGCTGCACTAACACCTCTTCCAGCAGCAACCTTAGCTTTCCCAGGAGTCTCCCATCCAGCTACTGGACAGGCTCACACCTGCTGAGCTTCTGTTTTGAGGTGCAGGTCGATGTGGCTGCTGCCTTCATATAGGCTGGGATATTGCTGTGACACTCCAGTAGTGAAGCAGCTTTCTGATTGTTGTGGGATTTTCTTCAAGAGAAGAGCAGGAGACAGCCCTGTGTAGACTCAGCCTTTATAGAGCTCAGTAAACACAGTACCACAGCCCCACTGCTGGGTCTGCCCCACAGAACAGACAAACTGCCCAAGTTTTCTAACCCTTTTCCTAAAGACCTCCCTCATGTGATCTGTGACAGGTTAGTACCTTTCAGGCTCAGGCTTTGGGTCCAGTCTGAAATTCAGTCTGTAACCTTGTTAAGCTCAAGTCAGAGCGACATGGCTAATTTAACATACAGTATGCCAATAATTATTGCACACATTCCACGACACAATTTAAAAATAACCCTGTATATACATACACATAGTGTACATACATACACATAATGGCAATACACACACACTATGGGCTTTAATGTCTTCATTAGTGTACTAAATTGCTACTTATTCTAGCCTCTACAACAGTGTTTTGTAACCTTGTAGATAAAAATTAAATATTCAAAGTAAGTGTCTAAATTTTCAGATTGTTGGAAAGAAATATGTACTGTACCTTCTATTAAAACAGATGAGTCATCTATTTAGGACAGAGGCAACAAATAGAAATATGCTGGGTCCCCCTGCTTTTTTTGTGGAGCTGCTCTAAGGATCATCAGAATAGTCACAAACAAAAGAGTCTGTCCACTTCGCCTACCCCTTCTGATTGATGGTTGGTGGTTAATTGGTCTGAGGATGTCATCCATACTTTTATTGAAAGAAAACATGGTATCGACTTCAAAACTGGGTAGCTTGTTCCACACTCCCACCACGCTTTTGGTAGAGAAGTGCCTCCCCTTCGGTATTTTAAATGCACCTCAGTGTAGATTCCACTTGGGTCTTCACGTTGCTTTGTGTTATAAATCGACATGTAAAGATCGTTTATGAAAACTACAGTTGCTAAGCGTCAGAACCCTCTTCGTCTAAGACCTAACTTCAGATTTGTAAGACATTTTGTCCCTGATCTTATCACTCTGTGTGTTTGGTCGCAGTTCCTCCTTTGTCCCAGTGAGCCCCTGTTCTGCGGAAAACCTAGCTACACAGCTGCTGAGAATATTCCGGAAGCAGTGGATACATTCAGAGAGTCAACGGCACGGCTTGGGCAATTTGTCTTCTGTGCTGCAGGAAGTGAGTATTTGCTGTGGTTTGATCGCCCACATTTAACGGACTGTGTAGTCTAATGCTGACACACGGGCTGTGTGTGTCAACAGGTCATTTTGATCTTGCAGTATGGCAGCTGCACTGGGAAGATAAAAAAAGAAGAAAATGAGGACAGTCCAGATTGTGTCAGTTTTGATAATTCTGTGCCCAGACACAGATTTAGGCCTGGGTTAACACAAACGGGTTAACCTCACACAAACGTTGTATATCTAGTACCCAATGGCAGCATGTTATGTGCCAGAGGCGTCTTTTGTCCATCACGTAGAAATCTTCCATCAAGTTCTATGTTAAATATGCAATTTGCAGGTGATTCGATATTTTTATTTTACGAGGGTCATTAAATGTTGCCCTATCTTTTTTGTTTTTTTGAATGAGTAAAATGGATTTATGTCGGTAGAGTGAGTTAACTGAGATCTGTTCAGGAGTACTCTAGGTAGAAGAGGGTTATATTTAAGTTTGGGATTGTGGTGATGTTAATATGATGTAACTCTTGAGTTTAGTTTGTGGTTAAAAATGGGTTTACAGTTGAGGGTTTTGTTAAGACAGGTTCATGGCTGGGCTGACGGCAGGGTTACAAACTGCTTGGGTTAAGGTTGGGTTTGATTTTACACTTGGAGAGTGAGGATAAGCCGAGCACCAGGGAGTGAATCAAGGTAAGTTTGAGGATAACTTCACCCTTTTCCACAGTTCCCAGTTGATGTCATGGACGTGGAGCACAGTCTCACTCTGGCGGAGGAAATTAAACAGAAGGCCAGGATGCGTGGCACCTTGATCTGGGCACCACCCCGCTTTCAGATCATCTTCAACATCCACCCACCACAGAAGTGAGTTCCTGGGGTTGTTTGTCAACAGGAAATACTATGACTTCTAACCATGTGGGGTCTGCCTGCTATACCACAGTCTCCAGGTGTACGCTGGTGTGCAAATGTCATAGAAATATTATTACTCCATTCCTTCACTCAGCGTTTTTTCCTTTTTTAATCAGACACATAATGGTTACCTTGTACTAATATTTTAGCCTTTTTATTTCAGGCTGTTTTTTTTCTGATAGGTCTGTTGTTTGGTGTACAGAAAATAGACTTTTAGCTTGATGGATGTGTGAAGGAACACTTGACCATGTGTCACTTAGATTGGACTGGACGCCTGAGATTAACTACTATTGTACAAAGCGTCATGTTGACCCTCATGTATACTTTATCAGGAGCTGTTGTGATCAAGTTTTGGAAAATTCTGATCAGTATGCATTACATACTGCTGAATGCCGAATGCTAAACTTGGTGTTTTCTTATACAAGATAAACTGTTTTAGTAATAGCATTGTTATAATCATAGAAAAAATAGTGGAAGCTTTAAGTAATTCTTTGGTGCTCAGGTGCTCATAACATACATATATCTTAACTCTTTACTGTGTTTAAGATATTTAAGACATTTGCACAGCACTGCATATAGGCCTGTTTGACAATTAAAAAATGTTTTAATATTTTAATTAATACTGAACACTGCATTAATACATTAATAATTAAGATGTTACGAAAGAGGATCACTGAGTACATGGATTTCTTATATTAAGACAATTTCTATAGAATGTCTTAAATATTTGTAGAATTAAAAAAAAAACATTTGGGCAGGCGGAACTTCAAGCAAGAGAGAGCGTGTGTCAGCATGGTTTGTTAAGACCGAATTTGTTCTTCAGTGCACATTCAGCTTTTTAAAAACTTTGTCTACCAGCTGCTGCTAGGGTGGAAAATGAGGTCTTACTACCAGTCATGTCTTTCCCACCAGGAGGAGCACTGTTGTAGCTTCACAGCACTACCTCTGTGCTGGCTGTGGCACCCAAGTGGAACCAAGTGAGTACCACCCCAGGTGGGACTGCAGAGCCCCAGTGGTTACTGATTGATACATGCAGTGCTGATTGTGAAAAATGAAGGACATTTAAAAACAGCTTACAGTTTTAAGACTTCTTTTTTGTTTTAACTTAAAGGTCGTTTTACATATTTTCCATCAGTGGTTTCGAAATGACCAGTTCTCAGACATCCTGTTGGTGTGCTGTAAGATTTATGTGGGGTTTTGCGAAGAACAGATATCTTGAACAGAGATCAACAGATAAAGTGACTACTTTATAAAATGCAGCAGACCTTCTGTTTACAGGTGTTTTCAGGATTTGAATGTCAATATGCCATACAAGAATACAAAACCATGCATTAAAAAACTTCCAGTTATGTAACAAATGACTAGTTTTTGATTAAACAAGGGTATTGTAATAAGAAACTGTAATTCCTATCATTATATTAGTGGTTCACAAATGTTGTCATGGCAGCACACATCTGGTTGTTTGACAAGCGTTTTTATTGCTTTTTACACCAACAAAAATACAGGATGCATAATACAGTACATAATTCACCACAGATGGAGTGACATGTTCAAAAGTTGAAGATTTGATGTCCTAAACAGAAGAGCTTTTCACCAGGCTTCAATGTCATCACCTGACTTTTTGGAGAAAAATTATCCGGGAGGCTGGTGTCGCTAAACATATTGTGGCAGTGTCTATATGCATCGCTTCAGTTGTTCTAATCAAGCTGTTTGCAAATGACTTTCTCTCCAAATAGAGTACATTAAGAAGCTGCGATACTGTGAATACCTGGGGAAGTATTTCTGTGACTGCTGCCATAATGACTCGGAGTCTGTCATCCCTGGGCACATCCTAATGAAGTGGGACTTCAGCAAATACCTTGTGTGCAACTTTTCCAAGCATCTGCTATACAGCATATGGCACAACCCCCTTTTCAATGTGTCTTGCATTAACAAAACACTGTATGCCAAAGCAAAGGAGCTGGACAGGTTCAGGGTAAGTGTTTTTAAGGAAATGAGTCAATTCGTTCCTTTGAGTGATGGAAACATGGTGCACATAAGATCACTTTAAACAGCATCTGAAAGACGTTCCCCAGTTTAAATTCCAGTAACGCAGGGGTTCCACAGTTTGGAGAGGAAGAACACACTGGGCGCTCAGATAATGTAGCAGCATTGTAGGCTCCTGCTCCACACTCCAGCTTATTGCTGCCTTCTGCTTCCCTCAGGAACTTCAGGAACAACTGTTGGCCATGAAGAAGCTGCTGGTGACTTGCAGATTATCAGAGTGGTAAGTTAATGCACACAGTTCACTCATGTTACTCTGTTACCAGCCTGCACAGAAAGTAGAAACGCCATCGGAAATGCCAGTTTTTGAAAGTGTACTCTGTTAATAGTGTAATAAAGGCTCAGATGTTGAAGGGGCTAGGCCTATTACCCTCTAACCTGAATGGAAAGACTGGCCTGTAACATTTATCTGCCATTTTTGTTGTTGTTGTTGTTGTTGTTGTTTTTTAAGATTTAATTTGCATTCTTCACAGAAGCTTAAAAAGGGCAAAGGCGTGTGAAGCTCCGAGGCCGGAGGCTCGGCAGCGCGAGACTCACGCCGCCCCCTGTGTCAGTGTCTTGCAGGAGTTCAGCCAGCTGCCCGAGCACCTGACTCGGGAGCTGCACCTTTTCTCCCTGGATGACCTGGTGAGGGTGAAGCGTGGTCTGCTGCCAGCCCAGGCCAGGGCCCTGCTGCGCGTGGCCTCCGCGCATGTGGAGACCTGCGAGGTAAACGGGCCGGCTCAGCTCCCTGGAGAGCAATAACGGGAGAGAAGTTCCTCCCGCTGCGACGGAAACCTCCTTCCAGTTTTAGATGGTCTTTTAGAAGATAGATAGATAATACTTTATTAATCCCGTAGGGAAATTGATGAGAAAGCACCTTCAGTGAAAGCTTTTCTGTACAATAGCCACCGCAAGGCAGGTTTTGGAAACTTGAAAACCTTTTCAAAATTAGACAAATGAACACATTAAAATTAAACACATTTTAAAAAGTTTAATAAGTTGTCAGGTATCAAAGTTGACTGATAATGTCAGGGCATTATTAAGGGAAAACGGAATTTTTCACCTGCATGTCAAATATTTTTGCATACAATCCTTAGCCACACATTCGGTCATTTCCTACTAGTAATGCTGAGGTTACAGACTTTTCCAGCTGCGTGTAAAATCTGCATGTGATTCTTTTTTAAAGGGTGATATGATGTTGTAATGCTGAGCTCACTTGTTTTTCAGTTGTGCTTAGCCAAGGGATTTATTTGTGAATTTTGTAAGGGAAAGGACGTGCTTTTTCCCTTCCAGAAAGAGACCTGTAAACGCTGTGAAGGTAAGTGTTGAGAAATATACTGCAGACGAATGATGGCACTGCAATGAGATTTATATTGTGTTCATTTTTACAAATTATTAGCAAGAGACGAGTTGCACTTTAGTTTTTTTTTAACTTTTTGTCTGTGTATGATGTTACAGGAAAAAAAAATACAATTATTAACAGCCCATGCCTGAACAGGGCTGCACACAAACATGATATGTTTTGCTTTCTTTCTGTCCTTCAGCATGTAATTAATTTCTGCTGGTTCCAAAGGTTGCAGGACGCTGATGCTCCTGCCTGCTCTAACCCACACAGATAGTTATTCAAACAAAATCCACAACGAGCCGAGATTGCTGCTGTTGTGATTCTTGAGAAAATAGATAAGGTTCTTGGAAAAATAAGGCACGAACAGCCAAACAAACATGATAGGCTTCATAGGCTCCACTTTAGGGCTGTGTCTGGTAAGACAGAGAGATATTTATAATAATTT